CATTTGGGCTATAACAGGGGTGGAAAAAACCAATATATATACAAAAAATAGGTACTCCCTATACAACTTCTATTATACATAACAATGAATGACAAGAAATAGCCAAAGCACTCTGCTCTTGAGGACATAGAATAAGCAAAATATAAACTATACATCTTTATACACGACATCCTTAAGGCCCTTCAAGAAAGAAGGTACACATTCCGATAAGGCAGTGGAGTTCGGCAGCCTGTTCCACTCACTGATCGCTCGCGGAAAGAAACTGAACTTAAAACAATCGTTGTGTGATCTGGGAGGGGGGATGTACATGTTATGCCAGTGCCTTGACGTTTCCCCAGTTTTTATATACATATACTCCGATTTGTCTATTTTTACTTGTTCTTTAATGATTAAAAAGAGTAATTTAAGTCTTTCATACTCTGGCTTTTGTTCTAGTGGTTCAAGGTGGGCCAGCTTGCAAAGCTGAGTTGGGGAGTGGCAGCGCTGGTATTTGTTAAATATGAAACGTGACGCCAATCTTTGTATTCTATCTAGTTTAATGCGATTACTTGTTGTGTACGGATCCCATACCTTCTTTGCGTACTCCATAATTGGCCGTACGAGAGCCTTGTAAGCCAAGCATTTGATTTCCGGGCTAGCATGGTGCAGATTTCTCTGAAGTCTCCACAACGCTTTGTTAGCCTTAGCACAAACGAAGTCTACATGCAAATTCCATCGTAGATCGGAAGTTATTAATAAACCCAAATATTTGTGTTGTTCTACTCTGCCAAGCTCATGATCGTTTATAGAGTACGTCGTATTTAGAATGCGTTTTTTCCTAGTTACGGTGATCGTTACTGTTTTTGCGGCGTTTAGATCCATCTGCCAAATGGTGCACCAGTATTGTATTTTTTTGGAGGTTTAGATTTAGTTCTGATTGATCGGTAGGAGACCTGACTGTTTTATACATTACGCAATCGTCTGCAAAAAACCTTATGGGGACCGTAATATCTTTAGATAAATCGTTGACAAAAATCAAAAACAGTAGTGGGCCCAAGACACTGCCTTGGGGAACTCCAGAAATAACATCGGCAAGGGTAGATTTTTTCGTGCTGACTTGAACATACTGCTTGCGATTGGAGAAATAGGAGGAAAACCACTGCGTTAGATTTGGGTTTTTAAAGATAGTGTTTATTTTTAACAACAGTTTAGCATGGGACACCTTATCAAAAGCTTTTGCAAAATCTAAGAGTATCATGTCAACCTGACCTTGCGAGTTAATTTCAGAGGAGAGATCATGAACAAGTTCAACAAGCTGAGTAATAGTAGATAGGCCTTTTCGAAATCCATGTTGCTGTGAGTATAATAGGTTGTGAACATCTAGATAAGCCAAAAGATGCATCGAACAAGTTCAATAATGAAACAAAAGCAAAAAGAAAGAAAGAAAACACAGTAACGACGAAACCAGGTGTTCGAAAGTCAACATAGAAGGAAGTGTACAGTTTTAGCGGCATGGTAAAGGGTTACATAAGATCGACCTTATATACACATCTAAGTACAAAAGTGCACTCGTACAAAGGGGGAAAAGAAACAAAGCGGTATATGTATGTAGTTTACAATAGTTGTATTTTAGAAGGAAATGTAAGCAAGTCAAGAGAGCGCACGTGGCCAGGCAACAAATTCCAACGCTCAATTGTTCGCGGAAAAAAGCTATATTTGAACGTGTCTGTGCGGGGATGATACGGGGAAACGTTAAGGGTGTGATTGCTTCTGGTCTGAGTGGGGCTTGCATATGTGACATATTTGTTCGATGACAGGCGATATGAACAGTGAATGATGCGGTGAAAAAAGGTTAGTGATTCAATTTCACGACGGGCAGCTAAGGTGGTTAGCTCTAGAGATACGAGGGCTGTGGTTGGTGAAAAAGCGCAGTCATACCTGCGACAGATGAATCGGATGGCTTTCTTTTGAATGGCTTCAATTTTGTTAATTTCGCCTTTTCGGTAAGGGTTCCACACGGAGCATGCGTAGTCGAGTGTCGGTCGGATTAGTGTTTTATACATCAGGAGTTTGGTGTCTTTCGGTGCTTGGCTGAGTGTGCGACGAAGATAACCCAGTTTCTTAAGTGACTTTGTGCATACATATTCGATGTGTTTCGACCAGGATAGGTTACTTGTGAAAATAATGCCAAGATACTTATATTCTGTAACTCATTGGAGGTTTATGTCAGCGGATGATTACGTGAAATTAGACAGGGAACGTTTGTGAGTAAAAGACATGGATACTGTTTTGTGGAAATTTACGGACATCTGCCACGTTTTACACCACGCGCAAAACCTAGAAAACGACTCGTTTAGTTTTTGGTGACACTGCGGTGTGCTAATGGTGTCATATAGTACGCAATCGTCCGCATAAAAACGGATTTTAGAATTGATGTTGCCAGGCAGGTCGTTTATGTAGATCAGAAATAGCAGTGGTCCAAGGACCGAGCCCTGGCAAACTCCAGAAGTTACGTTAGATTTATTGGATACGGAACCGTTAAGTTCTACGAATTGCGCGCAATCTGAAAGAAAGTTTTCTATCCACTTGACCAAGACAGGGTTTTTTAATATGGTAGTTATTTTGCATATCAGCTTAGTGTGAGATACCGTGTCGAATGCTTTGGAAAAATCGATGAAAGTGGCGTCGACCTGCCTGGAGGACTGGAGGACTGGAGGACTGGAGGACTACTTATGGAGGACTGGAAAATAATTGTCAAGTACTTCGAGACCCAAACTGCGTACCTATATAAAAATTCATTTGGTATTCCGTCAGGTCCTGCACTTTTCTTTTTGTCGATTTTAAGGAGCAACTTCAATACTCCTTGTTCACTAATCGTTATTCCTTCTATGGCAGGTGTGTCAGAAGCCTCACTAAAAGTCGGTACTTGTCTGTCATTGTGGGTAAATACTGACGAAAAAAAGGCATTAAAACTTTCAGTACATGCTTGTGAGTTTTTTTTATCTGCATCAAGATGGGTTTTTGTGTTTGGATTCACGTATCTCCAGAACTTTTCGGCTGCTTCGTGCAAGAACTTTTTAGTTTAACAATATAAAAATTATCTTTGCAATTTTTAACTAGACGTCTCAATTCCTAGCTCATAGTGTGAATGGTTTCCTTCCCTTCAGGGCAAGGATTCTTTGAGTGAGCTTTCCGTTTTCGTTTCAGTTGCCTTTTGGCATGGATCACGTCACGTGTTATCCAAGGATTTTTCTTTGCTATCTTTTTTTGTCGTGTTGGAATATAGAATTGAATGCATTCAGTGACCACCTGCGAGAAATAATCCCATAGTCTATTTGTACACGCATTTGAATTTTGCAGGAGAACAAAAGTACCGAAAGAGTTTTCAAGTTTTTCTAAAACAGAGAAGTCATCAGCAGCTGCGAAGTTCAGAACTGTATTTTTGTAATCCTTATGCGACCTAGCGGATGCCATATCTAAGGAAAACAGAACCATCTGATGATCTGATATGCCCTCGACTACATCACATGTTTTAACATTTTCCTCCAGGAGTGAAGATACAAATACAAGGTCGAGAACAGAGGATACAGCCTCAAAAACACGTGTGTAGCTAGACACAATTTGGCCTAAGTTAAAACAAAAGGCAATGTTCAAAAGATGTTCACAATGAGCTACTTCGTTTCCTATAATATCATGCGAATCCCATTGAATGCCTGGTAAGTTGAAATCACCAATCAAAATTATTTTGTCGTCCTGGTGCATATTAGACTCCATAAAACATCTTAAGTCGGTCAGAGTCGTAGCAGGAGAACAGGGGGGTCTGTACATAACTCCAATGTACACAGGGTGATCATTTAATCGAATATTTACCCATACGGCTTCAATATCACCAGCATCTGGCAAAGTTTGATACTTTATGTCTCTTTTAATCATAAGTGCTACCCCGCCTCCTCTCCCGCCTCGGTCCTTCCTTATTGAGACGTAACCTGGTGGTGTAACTTCCACATCATGTACATCACTGTGCAACCATGTCTCGGCGATTGCCAATATGTAAGGATCATGTTCCAAGGTTACACTTTCTATTAAGTGACTTTTGTTCAGTACGCTGCGAGCATTTAAGTTGATGATCTTAAATTCGGCCTGTTTTTGTCTTTCAGGTCATTGTTGGTTGGGTTTGGCAGATGCTTTGCACTTGATCTTCTCCTTGGGATCATCACTCAAGGTGTCCAAAACATTGTTGATGAGAACTTTGTCATAAACCAGTTTAACTTTCGCTCCTTTCTTTCTTTCTTCTAGACTTGAGATCCACAAGTTTCTCCGTATCTCAGTTACACGTCTTGAGTAGTCCTCACTAATGTTAATATGAGTGCCTTTTAGCTTGAAACAAGTTTTCAGTATCTTTACTTTGTCTCGGTAGTCTGCCACTCTAAGGATTACAGGGCGGTCTTTGCCAGGAAATTTCTTTCCCAGTCTATGTATTCTTTCTATATAATTCAGTTTCTGGTTGATAATGAAGCCAAATAAATCGTCATTTATTTTTTTTTAGTAAGTCATCATCATTCTCAGGGCCTTCTTCTTTTACGCCTCTAATAATAAGGTTGTTTTGTCTCGAGCGGTTTTCTAGGTCGTCAACCCTACTGCACAGAGCACTCAATTCTGTATGGCTCATATCGACTGCATTCTCAAGCTTTAGCAGCCTACCATCCACTTTATCTATGCACTCTAATTTTTTTCTCAATTGTTAATAATCTGTTTTGAACTTGAATAATAGCAGGCTCAGATGAGGCCTGTTGCTCTTGCATTTGCGAAATTTTAGACAAGATAGTTTTTTGAGTTTCTAGCAGTTCCTTAAACATTGCATCCGTAATAGGTCCAGGGTTTTGCTCAACATCTCCCGACAGTGAAAGCAACAGACCCGCTAGCGCAAAACAGTCACTTATGCAGTTTAGAATGGTGTGTGGACACGGCAACACTATTAAGCAAGGATCGTCACTACGGAAACCATATTTCCAGTCACTAACCTGCACGAGTAGGGGTACGTTAGGTGACATCGTCGTGGCTTGGTTGCCGTGTCCACTGCCACTTGAAGCAATTGGTGTCCCTTTTATAGCCGCTGGCGTGGTGCTGGCGGGCTGAACTGGTGACGTCATCATGCCACGTAGGTGTGTGCAGTAAAGATGATGCTCGGGCTGCAGGCGCGGCGCCACTGGCGTATCAAAGATATCACCAGCAACGATACCCGTGCCGAGCTTGAACGGTGCATCAAAGGTGTGACGCAGATCAAGCTGGCCCGTGCAAAACGCCGATGAGCCGGTCGACGAAAAAAGGCATCCCGTCAAAACCTGCACGAGTAGGGGTACGTTAGGTGACATCGTCGCGGCTTGGTTGCCGTGTCCACTGCAAACAATGCAAACAAAGAGCAAGACAAGTTAATGAATAATTGATCTGGCATGTTTGCGAATACACTAAGTGGCACCTACCACGATGTCTGAACGGGTATAGTAGATTGGTGCTTCTTAGGTACAATAAATAAATTATGGGGAAGTAGGAGTTGCGCAAGTGTGGGGCCAAAAAGGAAGAGAGGTTGCAGCCGTGTGAGCTGAGTGGTAGTCAAGAATCGCACGCACACAACACACCCAAATACAAACAAGCACAGACGCACACAGAGGTACATGCACACCCTTTGAATCTCTAGGCTCAATGTCATGATGAGAATGATTTGGGCATTTTGTTAGACCATGGGTCGTGCTTGTTTTGCCGAAACGCAATGACTCATTGCTTAGGCTGAAGAAGATTATAACACGCCTGGTTTCGATACCTTATCCCTGTAATCATATTGGATACAATGAATATAATACCTCAATAAAGCTACTATAGGTGTCTTGATAAGCAGCATTTGCAGGTTTGCAACGTTATTGAGCAGATACAGTTGCTTATATATTATAAGATGGTAATATTTAGTCTTTAATTATTAATAAATGAATTATGCCTCAGACTAAATTTTCTTCACATTTTTCTTAAAGTTAACTGTACAATAAGAGTGAAAACAGTCATCGTTTCATCGCAATTTTTTAACGCATATTTTTTTCTGTGCATTAATGGGCCAAATTGTGTTTAAAGTAAATCGTATTTCTCAAGTGGCCCTACGTGGAACTGAGCCGGGTTCGCGACTCAGTCGCGTTCCACAGGACAAAAATCAATTTAATTTCTTATATTCTTTTTTTCTTCGAGGGGCACGGTGGACTTAAATAGGCATGATTGTCGTCATCAGAAAATGACATGTAGTGCCAAATAGATATGAAGGATCGGCAGAAAGGCAAGCTATTAACTTTGAACGCCCCTCCAATGCAAATTCACTTTGAAAGTAAAAAAGTGCAAAGAGAATTTAGCCTGCGACTGGGTTACCTAGAACGTCAGAAAAAAACATACATATCCCTCAAAAGTAAGGGATTCTAGCAAGAGAGCTTTTAGAGCATTTTACAATGATAATGTTGCGCTATGAATGTGAAAATTTTTTGTGACTTTATCGCCGAGAATATACCGCCACAATTCTCGCCCTATCAACAGGATTCGAAAGGCAGTGTTTGTCAACACAACGCAAATTAACTTATTTGCCAACATATGCACAACAGCTCCGCAAAAGAACTAAGAAGAGGGCAGGTAAGAACTGCATTGCAGGTACGATTTCTCCATAGAATGAACTGAACAAAACATGCTTGGAACTGGGCGTGTCCAGGTGACAGAGGGCCTCGCGGTCACAGTTGCAACTGAAGAGGAAAGCTTCCCAAAGACTACAGAAACCGCAGCCTTCGGTGACCAACCGTAGAGAAGAACAGGACATCCCAATCTGCATTGCTAATGCGTTCGTTCATGTTCAGCTTGCACAGTCTGACAGTCAGCCTACCTGGTCGATACGTCCAGGATCTCGCCCTCCTTTCTTCAGTGTTTGAGTGTCATGAAGCCCAACATATATCATGATGCCCCCATTAAACCTTTCAACGCTCGCACTGACATCTTTCGGTGAAAATTTTTTCTGGATGCCATCGAACAATGAAATCGTTTACCCCATTATGTTGGGAATAGTAGTGATGTGCAATCTTTTGACAGAGAAATTGATGCTTATTTTGGTCATGGTTGAATTGAACTACTGCCAATTTTGGTTTCTTGTGTGTATTGCTATTTGAGTGCCAGTTTGTTTTGGTTTTCTGTTTGTACGTAATACTTTACTCCCTCCCTGACATGACCCTCAAGCGAGGGTTGACAGTAGTATTAAACAAATAAATAAATAAAAACACGGATGCGAAGGATGCGAGCTGTGGCTCTTGTCTTTTGAGAGCACTCAACCATGACAGCCTAAACTGTATGTTCAGAGGCACACGAATGACGAAGCTTGAAGAGGCCTGTATTTTATCTCGAGCTTTTTCTCAATTTCTTGAACCACAAGTGCTGGCTTCGACGGAAGACCTAATTGTGTGCTTCAATGCTACGAAGCCCTAAAATCTTCAAGTTTACACACGCATTATGTGTCGCGAGGCAAAAGGCAAAAGACGGTATTCGCTCATGCATGTAGCACCTTCTTAAACCACGGTAGAATAACTTGCATACGCAAGGTGACCCGTCCTCTCAAACACTGTTGGAAAGAATCATGCTAGTTTACGGCCGAGTGAAGAACATCTCGGTGCGTAGAGCAAAGACTAACTTGGCGCATCACATAGTTTTCGATTTGGCGAATATTGAGCTGGCGCTGAAGTGCCATATGAGAAAAATTGTTGGAACCCCCAAAAAGTCAAGAGTGGTAGATGCAATTTTGCACTGTAAAATAAAAAAAAACTTAGTCTTCAGTACTGCCACAAAACAGCAAAATGGGAGAGCTCGACGACACTTGGTCATTACAAATTATAGTTATCAATGAGATCCTTTTCATTTCTCTCAACCTAAAGCAGGTTGAAGAAAGGGTAATGGCGTAAGCACTCACGCTATCGCACACGCTTCACGGAATTTATACAAGGAAGCTGTTTTGTATTTTACACATTGACAAGCCCGGGGGGGGATAAGCGTCCACACGGAGCATTGCTTAAATGACCACATCATGGGGTGTTATTCTGGTAACCTAAACCTTTACAGTGTAACGCGGCGGCGCAATACTGATGTTGTTTGCTGATGATGTTGTAGATGTCTGTAGTACTGTGGCCCAGCACCCACCATTTTTGTTTCTTTTCGCAACCAGCTAGTGCCAGTAATCAATTGTGATTCTAAGGCTGTAAATTCATACATTCATTTTGTTTGTTGGTCTTTTAAGGTTATACCTATTAGAAAAATACGTCCGCGAAGCTTCTCTTATAAAGAAAAAAAATTCTGGGCTGAAAAAGTTCATTCTTTCTTTACCCCGCCTGTTCAAATCCATCACCGATGATTGACGTTTCAGATGGTCTACTTTGGCATGCAAAATTTGTTTCTCGTGCACGCAGCACTTTCTAGTTCAGTGACTCTACTTTCAGAATCAATTTTAGTGTGCCTGTTTTGCCAACATAGTGATTTTTGGCAGAAATGTGTGTTAACTAACGTGCGTGTGTTCTTGGAAACAAGCACTAGGCTGGCGAACTTGACGAAAGTGTGTGCCCCTCGTGATTATGCTACTGCAACATCAAGTTTATGTAATGAAAATAACATTTGCAAGTTAAATATCGAATTAAAGTGTCAGCTGCAAAATTTGGCACTGTTGAGCAGTAATATTTGTCTGAAATTTATGCCAGCTATTTGTTAGAGAGCGCTGGCTATAGAAGTCAGGGATAACTTATTTTACAAACATATTTTTGAAGGTCCGCCGCTTTTTAAAAGTATTGAGGGGGCTTTCTCAGCCAGTTTCCAGAAGTTTCGGTTTTTATTGTATTGTTATATCAGACACAAGGTTGCATGCAGTGTCACTATAGACCTTTTCACCGAAGGCGTTTCGGGCGCCACCATAGTCCTCTCTGGGCTGTTGTTAGTGCGCGTGACCACGCAAGAAACGCACTGCCGAGCCTGTGACGTTGGCTTTCGTACACTCATGCAACAGCTCAGAACAAAAAAAATCTGTGTCTTTGTGAAAAAGGTCCATAGTCGCTCCTATGGCATCACCGTAACGCGCGCATGGGTGTGCAGTAGCACTGAAACACGAACGCGCCACTCGATACTGTCTTGCAACCGCACCTGAACGAGCTTTCAGTTCGAGGATCACAGCAACTCAGCTTCAAGTTTTACGGTGACGATGTTCTGTGTATGCCTGGAACATCCGCAGCCATTCATAGATTTGTTTTGTTGACAGCCCCAAGTTGTCTTCTCCGCCGCAAGTGTGTAGCTGCCGAGCTTTGTGCGCAATGTTATAGCTACTCGGGTTCCTTGCAAGGCCCATACTTCGCTAGGGAGTGGTGTGCTGTCACCGGCTGCAGAGCTTCTTCTAACGACAAGAAGGCGACAGGTGCACAACTTGTCCCTGACTACTGAGCAGCACGAGACGTTTTAGAACTGCGCGCGATCTTGATCTTTTTTTATATGATGTGGAAAATTCTAAGAAACATCATTGGATGCGTAATAATATAGGTACATATGGATGCATATGCGAACCTACGCGCAGTGAGCTGGCTCATAAAAAGAGGTTACGCTAGACAAAATAACATAGTTCTTCTGATATTTGATTTTTAAACAGATTATTCACATCACGGTCGTCTGTCTATAATAAAAGACTTAGAGGCTCCTATCGCAAAAAAAAAAAACACTGAGATATGTGTGCGAGATAACTTGCGTCTCTTAAAAATCTTAGCAATGATTCACCACATGAAACGAGCCCTGAAGCAGCACCTAGGTTCTGATTTTCTTTTTTTACTTGAATGGAACCATTTTGTTCAATATTTATTATTCTTTATATTGTTGCTGGGTCATTTATCTTAAAAATGTATAATCTGAGTTTTTTTTCTTTTGAATATTTTTTTTATTTCTAGTGTTTTTACTGTTCTGTTTACTGGATGGCAATGAAAAATCACACTTTTCATTTTTTCATTCATTCCGCATATTTTTCTTGCTCTAGAACGAAAATTTATTGAAATAGCATTTCATCGTCAAAAACGATCTTCCCGATACAAATGAAAAGTAACCACTTATGTGCGGTAACGAAAGAGTAGTTGAGAATCATTCATAACTGCCACTGGCAATGCACGTGTAACTTGTTTCGACCGGCGATCGAAAAGCTACTCAACGCAATCGATGTTCACAACTGCGTGCATCTTAAGCCCGTCGCCACACAAAATTATCGCCTGTTCTAATGTAGCTCGCTCGGTCATTGCCCTGTAAATTGAGCAGGCGTCCTCTTCCTGCACGTGTGATTGGCTCAGACAATTGTGATGGCAGTCGG